TCTGTGACATCTATCATTGTATTTCACACATGACCATTTACGTCTTAATTAACAATAAATGTTTGTTGAATGGAAGTCAATTATTATTAATGTGAAGTTTTGTAATTAATTTTTTAAAAAAATGTAATAGCTGAGAGCAAGCAACGCTATTGTTCGTTAGGAATCTATAGCATTTTCAGTAAATTAGTAATAATGAATGCAAGGACAAAATGTATTGCAAGTCTAGTAGTTTTTATCTGGAAGACATTAGAATTTTTGCTTTCTGAGCATATTAAAAAGTCAGATGGCATACATATTTTAATTTAAAACCCTACTACTTACATTACTGAGCAATGAAATGGTTACTTTGTTTAGTTCCTTGACGTTTGTTGCCATCTAGTGTGACATTTGGGTATCACATGCTAAGTAGAAGGAATTACATATTTAACATTCATAGTGGCAGTGAAAATGCCTAAGAAAATAAATACATAACTTGAGAAGTGTATAATGCCATGCATAGATTCTTGTGTGGAACTATCTTGGATAAACTCCCTACTCTTCCACTTTCTAGGTCTCTGCTTTGGGCAAGTTACTGAATATCTTGAAGTACCAGTTTCTTCAATTGAGTGATAAGAACCAATTAAAATGTATTTAGAGGGTTAAATAATCCATATATGCCACTTAGCAAAGTATCTGGCACATAGTAGGTGTTCAATAAATGTTTTTGTTTGAAAATGGAAGTTGTCTCAATTGGTGATCATTTTAAAAGAGGAAAAAAGTTCACCTGGGACTAAATAGTGAGAAAAAGTAGAGGCTTTTGCAGTGACACCTTGATAAAGCTACAAGACACCTTGATAAAGCTACGAGAAGCAGATAAAAAGGCTAACCATGCCTTAGGCCTGCCTGCTTATGTTGGGAAGGGAAACTGTTGAGAGGTGTGTGGAAAGGCCTGAAGGTACAGGCTGTGGCATGAAGTTACCATGAGCATATCTGTAATGACATAACCCTCTAAGGAAAAAAATTTTTTTTTTCTTTTTTACTCATAACAACTTGAGCAAAGTATTTATTTCAAATTTGCTAAGACCTATCCTGCCATATACCTTCATGGGTAAGTGGTGTGAACTTTTTTAAAAAATTAATTATTATGTATACATAATAATTGTACATATTCTGTTTCTTGGATTACAGGGAGTCAGAAAGGCAGGAATTAGAAACCTGGATTGAAAATAAAACCAGAAAAGCACTGAGTTGTAGTCACAAGTAAAGAAAACAATACTTCTTGATAGGCGTGTCATCTGTCACAAAACAAAAACAAAGTATTAAGTATCTTGAAAAATGGTACATAGGGATAGTCTGGTAAATTTCTGGCTAGCAAGGGTTTATAAATTAAAATCAATAGTTTGCATTATTTGTAAGTTAGATGCTTGAAATGTGTTAATCTTTTTAATTTTGTGGGCTTTATTATTACATAAAAATAAAAATGTTTATAAGCCTTAAAGTTCATGTTCACAGGTGTGAGCTGTATAATTTCATAAGATCTTAATTCCTTAGTTATGAATTATTCTGTCATAAAGATTTCTTGAAAACTAGCCCTAGCAGTTGGGAAGGACTTTTATATGGTCTACAATAGGTCTCCTGTTTTAAAATTTTAGTTGACTAGATATAAATTTTGTTTTTGAAAATGTTTTGACTGCCTAAGATAGTAGTGCCTACCCTTTGGTTTAATAAAACCAGGACTGGGAATATCAAGTCCAATAAACTGTGTTTGAAAAAAAGGTTAATATGTCAACATAGAATGACCACAGCTAAAGAAATTTCCCAGAAAAGAAAATGTACCTTCAGGAATGAGTCTGCTGGATGGGGGGAATGTATAATTCCCCAACTTCCTAAGACTCAAGGAAAGGGCTGTGTTCAGGGAAGGGAGAGAAGCCAGGACTTGGGAACTACTGAGAGAAATGACAGCCGCAGGCCCCAAATTAACTTTGTCACCTGTAAAGATCTATCATTTAATGGCAATTGCCCGTGTATAGCATTCAGTTACTATAAAGATCCATCATTTGATGGTAGTTGACTTTTTACTGACTTAGCCTTTGAGAAGTCGGTTACTATGTCTTTACTGAATGGTTATGGGGTACTCAATCGACAGGGATTCTGGAAAATAGGAGAAGAAACTCTAGAATTAAGAGAAAGCTTTAATGGAAATAGTGTATAAATATTTGTTTACTACACCCAAATCTTTTAGTATGTGCGGTCCAGTTGAGAGAGTTATCTTTAGAAAGAATAAATCATTTTTCTGATTCCAAGTGTTACTACGCTTTTCTATTTTCTTCATTGTGACCAAGCATATATGTTAAAATCAAAGCAAATAGAAGTAAAAGCTATTTGTTTGTTTGTTTGTTTTTGAGACTAAGTCTCGCTCTGTCACTCAGGCTGGAGTGCAGCAGTGTGATCTCGGCTCACTGCAAGCTCTGCCTCCCGGGTTCATGCCATTCTCCTGCCTCAGCCTCCCGAGTAGCTGGGACTACAGGCACCCACCACCATGCCTGGCTAGTTTTTTGTATTTTTAGTAGAGACAGAGTTTCACAGTGTTAGCCAGGATTGTGTCAATCTCCTGACCTCATGATCCGCCTGCCTTGGCCTCCCAAAGTGCTGGGATTAAAGGCGTGAGCCACCGCGCCTAGCCTTAAAAGCTATTTGATAATATGGAATTGTTGGTTACACGCTAAGAGACATCAATAACCAGTTTTTTGTTTGTTTGTTTGTTTTGTGTGTTTTTTGGGGACCAAGTCACGCTCTGTTGCCCAGGCTGGAGTGCAATGGCGCCATCTCGGCTCACTGCAACCTCCGCCTCCTGGGCTTAAGCAATTCTCCTGCCTCAGCCTCCCTAGTAGCTGGGACTACAGGCACGCACCACCATGCTCAGCTATTTTTCGTATTTTGGTAGAGACGGGGTTTCACCATGTTGGCCAGGCTGGTCTCAACCTCCTGACCTCAAGCAATCCACCTGCCTCAGCCTTCCAAAGTGCTGGGATTACAGGCATGAGCCACCGCGCCTGGCCAATAACCAGGTTTTAACCTAATATTTGTAATCAGTGTTGTGTTGCTCATTACTCATCCTCAACCATTGGTGGTGGCCAGTCCTAATAGAGAAAAGACCATCCACAAAACCAAGGCCTTAGCAGTGGTTTTGTTTACATGATTTTACAGCTTCTCACTTTGTGCTTTTCACTGTATCATCCTATCTTGGCCTTACACCTCTTATCGTGCTAGGATTATTTACTGTTGTTTGTTCCTTAGTTGATTGAGTTCTTTGAATTGATTCTGTAGGTGCCTTTCATGGTAGCCTGGTTTTAGATCTTCAGTCTCTTCCGCTGTTCCTATACTTAATGATGTTGACTCCTGAGTTTTTGTTCAGTTGAAAACTTTCTGATTGGGTATATTGGTTTATATTAAGTAAGCATTTTGTCTATTCATACCAGTAGTATTCATTATATCAGGGAGAGTTATGAACATTTACTAGATTCATGTGAAATATTTTTCGCAAGAGCAATTACATTTCGAATCACAAAAGTAACTAATTCATATTTCAAGCTCCAAGGGCTTAAATTATAGAAAAACTATGCCTTTTCATTCATTTTAATATCTAATTTAAAATTTCCTTTTCCAGGCATTCTCAGCTGGAATTTGGACTTGGGACTAACTCCCTAGAAGAATCATTTTTACTCATTGTATTTGTTTATTAGTTAATCTGAGACAATTGAATTTTACCTTTACATTTTATGCCTGGGAGCATAGAAACTTTTCAGAAAGACCAAAAGAAATTGGAGTTTAATGCTTTCCAGATGAAGAGATGAAAATTCACATATCCTAGATATTTATTGTCTGAATTTATTATAGCTTTCACCAGAGGGAAGCATAACTATGCATAAAACTTACAGTGCTTACTGAGGCCATTTCAGTCTCCATTAAAATCAAATGTGACTATGAAATTTATAATCATGTAGCATGTGAGTTATATGAGACCTGGGGTTCTTTCTACCATTTCAGGAGAAAAGAGAGGTTGTGTAAGGTGGATATCGTACATAAGGGCCACTGGAATAAGACTATAAGATGCTATAGTACCTTACTTTTATTAGGATTTTTTAAAATTGGGATTTTACTATGCAATCTGTGTATGTAACTAAATTACATTTGTACCCCATACATTTATACAAAAAAAGACCTCTTCAAATTGGGATTTTTGAAGTCATATTTTATTATTGGGTGTTATAAATAAAGATATTGTAAAAGTGACCAAAATGAAGTCAGAGAGTTTTTATTTCTGGAAATGCAGAGTGGGAAATTTACAGTAAAGGACAGTTATGAACTTTACCAGAAATGGAAGATCCTCATAAAACTAAGTAGTGGATACTGTCTTGAGTCTTTCCATTTAACTTATGATTATTACATAATTTTTACTTCAGTTGTATGTTTAAGGGGAGTGAACTAAATTTTCTCTTGGTTATATTTAAGGAAACTTGATTATTATATAGTATTAAACAAAAGATGCCTGTGTGTAATGATATATTCAATATTTCATTGTAGTATTTTGATCTATCATTTGAAGTATTCCAATAATTTTTATCCATGAGCAAATAAGAAATGAGTTAAGTTGGATGCTTATGTATTTCTTGTAGTAGAAACATGATATGTAATTGAAAATATTTGAGCACTTAGTTTTCCTGGTTCCCTTTTTAAAAATTCTGACTCATCTGTGGCCTTCATCAAGGTTCATTACCTGAATTTTGTCATTGATTAATTAATATGCCTTTAATCATGAAAACTGAACTATGTCAATACATGTAACGTTTGGATACTCTCTTAGGTCAATAAGTGGTATTGATAAACAAATACAAAATTATTCTAATGGGCTTTATAGTGGATTTTAACTATTTTAAATATACTTAAAGCTTAATTATCTCATTTTCCCCATATTTTTTCCAAATTCTAAACTCCTCTTTCAATCTCTTCTATCCTGGCAGGCTTTAATCCAGTGTGACCAGTTGAGGAAGGAGCTGGAGAGGCAGGCGGAGCGACTTGAAAAAGAACTTGCATCTCAGCAAGAGAAAAGGGCCATTGAGAAAGACATGATGAAAAAGGAAATAACGAAAGAAAGGGAGTCCATGGGATCAAAGGTACTTAAGGACTCTGCTGTTATCCACATTGCAGAAGAAAGGTTTTTTATGATGCCACTGATGATTCCATAGGCTGGAGTTCTTGAATGAACCTTAAATTTTAAAATTGTTATTATGTAAGTAGTTAAATTTCTTATAATTTAGAGTTCATAAAAATGTTTTATCATTTCATATATTTCTCAATAGTTTGTGTTGATCTTTTCAGATAAAATAATCAGTTAAATTCCATAAAATGAAATTACAAAATTTACTGTAAATCCTGCCATTCTGTTGGATTCCCTCTGTCATGTTTCCCAGAGGCATGCTATGAAGATACCCAGATTTTATTTCAACCTTGGCTAAATCAAGGAGAGATGACTCCCCTGCTTTATCTCCTACCCCTAAATTAAACCTGCAGAAGATGAAAACACTTGTAAGAAACTGAGTAACCAAGAAAAAGTGATTATGCACTCTGTATGAAATCAGTTCTGACAAATTACATGATGAATAATGATGGTAACCAGATGAAGAGAGAAATTTGAGGCAAAAGGAACAGATAATATGAAATGAGCAGTCTTTGTAAAAGAGTTCACAAACTAGAATACAGAGTTGAGTGGGACCTAGCTTTAAAATTTCTAACTAGACTCGAATTGAGCAAGTTGTGGTCCATCAAGTAACCAAAACAACTGCGTTACATGTTTGTTTTTAAAAGTGGACTCACAGCTTGTACTCTAAATTCTGTGTTGTTGTAAGATTCCAGTGTATGATAATTAACTCATTCAATCAATATATGCTGAGAATGTACTGTGTGCAAAGCAGTGTGGAGGCCTAAAGATATGTATAGAGAAAAATCACAACTTCTGCCCTGTGAGTTTTAAGTCTTAATAAGAGTAAACTGAGGCATTTTCTGTAAATGTCCTTGTCTTCTTATCCATTTTTTAAAATTGTGTCTGTCAAAACCCTACTACCTACCTTCTCTGCCCTGGATTGGTGATCTCAGCTGGTAAAAATCGCACAGCCTTGCAGATGACACAGCTGTAGACTCCAGGTCTTCCGCGTCCATGGTTCTTTCAGTGCTTTCTAGCAGTCCTCTTATGCCTTCCTCTCTCTTCTTCATTCCACACTCAACAGATATTAACTGGAGGGGCTGGGAATGTTGTAGTCACAGGAACGATGCAGTTTCCTCATGAAGCTTACAAACTCGTAGGAGAAGTAGACATTACACAAATATTTTCATAAGTGAGTTTTAGATCATCATTGCGATAAAGTCATAAGGTTCAGTTTAGGATACCGTGGACTTGTGTAACAGGAATCTGACCTCGTCTAGGCAGTCACGAAAGACTTTCCTGAGAAAGAGATGTTGAAAATGAGACCTGAAAGCATTGATGAGTGATCAGGTGAAGAGGGGAAGAGGGTTTCAGGCCCAGGAAAATAACATATCCAAGACTCTGGACCTGGAAAGGATCGCACTTTCTAGGAATTTGGAGACGGCCCTGATGGCTGGAGCATAGAGAGAGAGGAGCAGAGTAGTGGGAATGAGTTTGGAGACTTATGTTGGGATGGAATCATGAATGGCTTTAAAATCCATATGAAGGATTTCAGTTTTGTCGAAAAAGGGATGGAAAGCCATTGAATGGCTTTGAATTTGTCAGTGTCACGATGCCATTTATATTTGAGAAAAATGGATTGGAAGGAGAAGCAGAATCGATGCCTGGAGATCAGCTGGAGGTGATTCTCGTAGTCCAGGTCTGGAAGTGGTTATTGCAGTCCCGGTCTGGAGGTGATTTTCGCGGTCCCGGTCTGGACATCACTTGTCCTCTCAAATTCTCTATAATACCACTTTTCCTCTTATTCTCAGCAGAGAGCCTTACTTCCCTAACACAGAAAATTAAAGCCACTGGGTGATGACCACCTTAACTATTTATCTTCCCCATGCCTTAAAATAAATTTTCACCTGTATTCCAACCCAGTCTGAATGGGAAAGGCCTCTTCCTAATCCTTTCTGCTTCCCATGGACGCCGTTTCCTTTACTCCCTCGAACTCATTCCATTTGTTCCCTCCACTTTTCTGAATCAATCTTTCCTTCACTACAGTCTCTTTCTTATCCTCAGGAAAATACTTTCAAATGTCTCTTACTGTTGAAATAAACAATCTTTCTTCTAATCTGTGGTTCTTAATTTTTGCTACACAAGAAGTTCTAAAAATCTGATTGTCCAAACAGTACCCCAAGCCCATCACATCAAAATGTCTGAGAGTAGCATCCAGGTGTCAGTATGTTTGAAACCCACCCAGGTGATTCCAACGTGCAGCCAAAGTTGGAAACCACTTCAGTAATTCCATCTCCCTCTTTGACTCTTTCTCTTAATAGTTGAGTTTCTTGAAAGATTTGTCCATACATGTTGTCTTTATTTTGTCAACTCTCACTTACTTCAACTTCCATGCCACAGCCAATGAAATTACCATTGCTATGTTCACTGAAGATCTGTTTGTGCTATATTTATTGATTTTTTTTCAGTTTTATTCTCCTTAAAAGATTCTCTTTCCTTTTATGATTTCTTTGAATTCAAATTCTTGATTTGGGAGAATGATGATGTGTGCTTTTTACATTACTCTGAGTTTAAAGTGCCTTTGAGGCAATAAAGGAGACACATCCAGAAAGCAGCTTGATAGGAGGTTCTAGAGTTTAGCAGGGAGCTAAAGATTTAGGTGTCTTTAGCAGTACTGTGGCTTGAGTTCCATGTATATATAGCCTTAGGACCTAAAGCTTCAGGACTAAAGCTATTTGATTTCTAAATCCTTAACTGTACACTGAGCTCCCAAACCAGCTTTACTTTCCACCTTCCCTATCCCAGTGAACCCACTGTTTATCCAGTTATCCAGCACAGAAATCTTGTCACCCTTTTCTCCCCCATCTTTCTCACCCCACACATCTCATCATCACCAGGCTCTATGACTTAAGCCCCTGAGCATTTACATTGCCCTGTCTCTCCATCCTACTGCTACCCATATCTCATCCTTGGATGGTTCCTGTAGCACCTGTGGTGTCCTTGCCTGCAGTCTCACCTCCTTCCTATCTGTTCTCCAAACCGCCGCTGGGATGATCTTTCTCAACATGTCAGGCTCTTGCTTTGAAATCCTTTCACGTCTCCCTGCAACCTTGGATGAAATTTAGAATCCTTTATCATAGCATGAAGACTCTACAATATTCTTCCTCTCTTTGGCTCTCAAGTCTTATGTTCCTTCATTTTTCTTCTTTGCACCCTCACCACACTGACCTACTTGTACTTCCCCAAGCATGTACATATGCCTATCTTCCATACTGTTTTTTTCAGTGCAGGATTTTGCGTATGCTTTGCCCCCTGCCTAGAGGAATCCTCCTCTGCCCTCTTTCACTGATTCTTCAGAGTTGTTTGTTTGTATTTGAGACAGGGTCTCACTCTATCACCCAGGCTGGAGCTCAGTGGGGTAATCACAGCTCACTTAGCCTCAGCCTCTTGAGCTCAGGTAATCTTCCCACCTCAGCTTTCCAGGTAGCTGGGACTACATAGGCGTGCCACCATGCCTCGCTAATTTTTTGTGTTTTTTGTAGAGACAGGTTTTTGCCATGTTGCCCAGGCTGCTCTCGAACTCCTAGGCTCAAGCAATCCACCCTCCTTGGCCACTCAAAGTGCTGGGATTGCAGGCGTGAGCACTGCGCCTGGCCCAAGAGTTTTTCTTGGTACCATCTCCTCTCAGTGCCTCCCATAACTGAATTGGGATAGTCTCCTGTGGGCTCCCATAACTCAATTCATTGCAAATTCATGTTGAATAGTTTGCTTCCCCTCGTTCAGTGAGTCCCTTGCGTGTAACATCCTCAATGCCTGGCACATTCCTCTCATATAAAATGTGCTCAGTATATATTAGATGAATGAAGGAATGAATTACAAGGAAAAGAAAAAAGTCCCTATGCCATTGAGAAGTTATGACTAAAATGCTGAGAGTTCAGAGGGTCAGAACTGATTGTCTGCCAGAGATCGTGGAAGGCTTTGTGGAAAAGATGGCATTTTAATTGAGCTTCCAAGAATAGATGGGATTTAGACACACAGAGTATGGGGGAAGGAACGCCACCTGTAACCAACATGAATAAGACATGGAAAGGAGATGAAGTTACGAATTGAGTGTTGTATAAGAGAGAATGGTATCAATAGCAAACACCAGCTATCGTTCACACCTAGGACATTTGTATTTTTTGGTTGTTTGCTGGAAACCATTTGCCTTGCTGAGTAGTTCTACTGTGTAGAAGTATGTTGATGAGAATTCCTGATAAGAAAGGAAAAACGAAGGCTGAAGTGTGCCTGGCAGTGTTCCAGGTACCTTCGTATGTAACAGAACCTCTCTCTTATGCTGACAGTTGTTTCATGAATAAAGGTGGTGATGGAAATGCAGCACAGTTTTTATTTATCATTTATTTATTTTTAACTTTTAGATTCAAGGGAGTACATGTGCAGGTTTTTTACTTGGTTATATTGCATGTTGCTGAGGTTTGGTTTACAAATTATCTTGTCACCCCCTACATGAACAGAGTACCCAATAGTTAGTTTTTCAACCCCTGCCCCGCTCCCTCCCTCTCCTCGCCAGTCTTGCCCTGTTTCTGTTGTTGCTATCTTTATATCCGTGAGTACCTAATGCTTAGCTCCCACTTGTAAATGAGAACATGCAGTATTTGATTTTCTGTTCCTGCGTTAATTCACTTCAGACTATGGTCTCCAGTTTCATCCATGTTCCTGCCAAAGACCTGATTCCATTTTTTATGGCTGCGTAGTATTCAGTGGTGTATATGTACCACATTTTCTTTATCCAGTCCATTCTTGATGGGCACCTAGGTTGATTCCATGTCTTTGCTATTGTGAATGGTGCTGCAGTGAACATGTGAGTACGTGTGTCTTTTTGGTAAGACAATTTGTTTTCCTTTGAATATATACCCAGTAATGGGATTGCTGGTAGAATGGTAGTTCTCAGTTATTTGAGAAATTTCCAAACTG